AAATATAAACAAAAAAATAAATAAAGTGATGGTAGATTTTTGGAGGCAGGGAAAAAAAGTTAAAAAAAAATGTTTTTAGTTACATTCCACTTCAATTAAAGATGGTTTCAAGTATTGTTTGGGTGAGATACTAAGGCCAAATCAGAAGTAAATTATCCCATGCTAGAACACACAAGCATGTTAAATGTTAGCCATGATGCCTGCATGCTAAGGAATAAAGAAAAGCAAGACTCACCTCAAAGTTGTACTTTTTCATCTGGTTGAAGTGTCTGCAGTACAGATAGAGCATGCCGATGCTGCTGCCCACTGCAATGTAGTCCCCATTGGTATCGAGAGCTGTGAGGTAGACCACAATAGAGCGGAAACCCTTCTGGACCTTTGTGGGAATGGCATTGAGGAGATAGTACAAGGGGCAGAACTCTCTGAACGTAATAGGTTCTGATACTGATGCCATGGCCAAGGTTTTCACAGATGATCTTCAGGCAGGAAAAGGAATGTGTACTTGGCATCTGGGGAAACCTGGGGGCTAAAGAACAAGGCATTATAATTCTTTCAACGTCTAGTCATGCCAAAGAGAAGTCATGTTTAACAGCGGGATCAAGGAACTTGCAAGTGGGTAAAAATTATAGGTGGACCTTAACTGAATGGAGAAAGTAAACCGGTTTCATTAAGATCACTTTTGAGCATTTTAATTCAACAGGCACCTCAATACATACCGGCTCCTGTAATTTACATTGTGCTAAATACTATGGAGGAATGGAAAGAAAATTAAAAACAGTTCTTATTCTCAAGTAGTTTATGATCTAGCCAGGCAGGAAAAGAAACAGTGAAGACACACAAAACCACATGTGATTAGTGCTAATCTGTGGGTCTTGACGAGAAGAGGGAGAGAGCAACGTGGAAAAGGCTTCACTGGAAACATCCTGAACTATGAAGCCCACCAGGAAGGATGGAACATGGAGAAGAGAAACAGGAAAGACACTGTACCAGGAGAACAATGAACCAATCCTGATGGAGAAATACATTCACTGTGTTGAGACAGCAGAGAAACATGTCCCCTAGCTGGATGTGTACAGCCCAGGGCCTCAGTCACACAACTGTGCCACAGTAAGACCAATACCTCTTGGCACTCTGATATCAAAGTTTCCCTCAACAAAGATACTCAGTCCTCACACAGCACGTTGTAATTTATGATGTGCTCAGTCACTCGTTTAATCCTTACCCTACTTGTAAGATCAGTGGTGTCATCCCCAACTTTGAGAGGAAGGTACTAAGGACCCAAGGGTCACAAGACTTGAATCTAAGTCTTCTCCCTCCAAGTCCTGGGCCTTTCCAATCCCACAGTCACTGTTCTGACAGACAAGCAGCAGCTACAGGTGGGTACCCTGTTCCTGATTAGAGCTGGCGGGGTATTTCACTCCTTCAGTTCCATGGAGACTTTTAAGCCCCTCTAGTAAAAACTTGTTGAGATGCCGGATTTATGGTCTGTTGGAACTGTGGGTTTTCTATTTCTATAGAGTTGACCGACCAACTTCTAAGTTCTCTTCTAATGAAACTCCCACCCAATTCATTCTCACCAGGGGCTCTTGCATTGGCTGTTCCTTCTACCTGGAATGCTCTTTCTCTAGATGTCACTCAGATTTTGCTTCTTCTTGGCATGTAGGTCTCTGCTAAAATGTCCCCTTCTCCACAAGGTCCCACCTGCCCACCCCCTAAAGTGGGCCTCCTACCACCACAACTGAGTACTCTCTATTCCCCTCTCCCTGCTTTACTTTCTCACATATCCTTTTTCTTTGCTGTTGACTGGCCATCTCTGCCTGACTCCCTCTACCATCACTGGTCTGTAAGGCCCACAGGAACAGGACCCACATCTGCTTCACTCACCCCTGTAGCCCCCAGCACCTAGAAAAAGATCAGGCATAACAGAGGCACTCAGTAAGTATTTACTGAATGCTGAATGAGTTATATAAAAGGAAAATTTTCAAGGAAGGTACGAGTGACAAGAATGGAAGACTAGCAAAATATCATCTTTTCTCCAATATGGCCCCAATTCAATGCTAGAATAATAATCCCCTGGATCTATATGGCATATCCAGTGTTCTAAGCATTTTCAGACTCCTGTTTTGTCTGATAATCACAATAGTCAATATAGTGAAGTAAGCAGGGTAATTTATCCTAAAGGTAATAATAAGAATCCTATCACTCTGTGATGGTTAAGAAAACTCTTGTAGCAGAGGCTGAAGCTCTGGGAGGTTCAGAACTTTGCCCAAGCTCCCATAGCTTTAAATGCCTAGTGCAGGGGCGCCTGGGTGGCTCAGTCGTTAAGCGTCTGCCTTCAGCTCAGGTCATGATCCCAGGGTCCTGGGATCGAGCCCCGCATCGGGCTCCCTGCTCCGCGGGAAGCCTGCTTCTCCCTCTCCCACTCCCCCTGCTTATGTTCCCTCTCTCGCAGTGTCTCTCTCTGTCAAATAAATAAATAAAATCTTCAAAATCAATCAATCAATGCTTAGTGCAACAGGTATCTGGCTGGTGAATGCTGGTTCTGTGCATACGGCAGCACAGCCCATAAACTTACAACTTTTTAAGAGCAACACCAATCTTTGGTTTATGCAAGTACTCCAGAAAGGTGGGCAAGGCTCGCATGATGCAGAAATCACATGAAAATGAAATGGCTCTTAGGCAAACTCAAGGGAGAACAGTTGCTAACAGACACGGTGGGAAAGGAGGTAGGTCACTTAAGGACACAGGATGCTAACACGGGAACAGCGACAGCAGCAGCAGTGATGGTAATAGCTAACGACGTCACGTCACAGAAACTATCCTGAGCACACTAACTCGTGAAATCCTCACAAAAAATCCCAGGAGGTCAGGACAACTCTTATCTCCATTTTACAGATGAGGAAAATTACTCCCATTTCAACAATCTTCTCTCCAGCTTCAAGTACAAGGGCAGCATAGGAACAGGAAAGGCTTTGTTTCCTCAATGAGTCTGTGCATGCAAACACATTGATACGTCATAATTTACATAATGTTTTTAAAATGAAATGTTTTATAACAGTCATAAATGTTTACTGTCAAAAAAATGTTTACTGTCAAAAAATTGGAATATGGAAAATTACAAAGAACTAAATAAATACTACTTGTAATCCCCTTGTACAGAGATATGCTGTATGTACAGACAGCCACAGACACGTGTGCAAACACACACTTGACAGATCACAAGCATTTGCCAAGTCATTAAATATTCCCCTAGAACATGATTTTTTTTTTTTTCATGACTAAGGTGTTTCCTTTTTTTTTTTTTATTTGACAGAGAGAGACACAGCGAAAGAGGGAACACAAGCAGGGGGAGAGGGAGAAGCAGACTCCCAGCTGAGCAGGAAGCCCGATGTGGGGCTCGATCCCAGGACCCTGGGATCATGACCTGAGCCGAAGGCAGACGCTTAACGACTGAGCCACCCAGGCGCCCCTCCTAGAACATGATTTTTAAAGACTCTATAAAAAAAACTGCAGAGGACACACTGTATACATAAACCAAAATTTTCCCAACCAAAATGTTTAACTTTCTGCTTTAGCGGACAAGATCTCCTAGGAAGCAAGTGGAAATACTAAGCACTTCACAAATGTCAGCTGGTACTATTTTCCTCCTTTAAAAGGCATTTTCCGCAAAGTAGCTTTGTCAAATTATGACATTTATATTTTAAAAATTAATTCACTTGATATTATTCACTGACAGCCCCATAATCTCCATGCAAGAGGGGATTTGAGATTGCAGTCTGGTTAGAAGAGGGCCAGAGGATTTACCCTGAAACTCATTTGCAGAGCAGGCACACTATTCTAACTTGGATTACATGTTTATTTGTGGTGGCTTAGTAGGTATTAATGGATAATATACAAGGTCAGAGTCCCTGCAATCATCTCTTTGGCACAATCAATGATAATACTATCAACTTCAAAAATGTATAAGGATCCCTCCCTCACTTACCAGGTCCCAGCAAGGATTAAAAATCATCATAATTCTGTGGCAGATAATGGGCAGTATAATCAAATTTTGAATCAAATTTTCGAGCTAAAGTCCTAGCCTTCATCCCTCACTTCTCCTTCTCCCTCTCCTTCACCTCTACAACAACCCCTCACCTCATTCCATTCGCTCTATCTCCTAACCTACCTCACACCTGGCCCCTTCTCACCATCTCTGTGGCCATGCCCAAGATGAAGCCATCACACATTTCACATCATCTAATGACTGCTCTCCTGCTTCCACACCTTACCTCTAGAACCTGTGCTCATACATAGCAGTCAGAATGAACTCTGTGACTTCATCAAAATTAATTCTGTGCTCCAAAAAACACCACCAAGACACTGAAAAGACAACTCACAGAATTGGGAAAAGTATCTGTTAATCACATATCTGGTAAAACATTTGTACCCAGAATATATAAAGAACTCTTAAATAAACATAATAAATAATAGATAATAATTTAATACACAATAATAAAAATACAACAATATTGTATTATTATATATAACAATAAAAATTAAAATATCAATTTTATTGTTATAAATAAAATTTATAATAAAATATACCACTACATTAGTATATACAATAAATATAATAAATAAATAATAATAAATAAATTTATTATTTATTATATAATAAAAAACAATTCTTAAATGGGCAAAAGATTGGAATAGACATTTCTCCAGAGAAAACATAAAAATAGCCAATAAGCACAGTAAAGATGCTCACTGTCATTAATCATCAGGGAAATGCAAAATAAAACCACAATGAGTTATCACTTTAAATACTAAGATGGCTACAATAATAATAATAATAATAATAATAATAATAAGACATATAGGTATTAGCAAGAATTTAAGAAACTGAAATCCTCATACACTGCTGGTAGAAAATAAAATGATGATACAGCCACTATGAAAAAGTCTAGCAATTAAACACAGAGTTACCAAATAACCCAGCAATACATACATAATAACATAGGTAGACATATGTCTACACAAAAATATTATGAAGGTAATAATATTAAAGGTAAAAATTAAAAACAACACCAATTGTCCATCAAAACAAAATGACAATATATCCATACAATGGAATATTAATCAATAAAAAGGAATGAAGTTCTGACACATGCTACAACATGATGAACCTTGAAAACATGATGCTAAGTGAAATAAGACAGACACACAAAATCACATATTGATTCCATTTATATGAAATGCCCAGAATAAGCAAACCTATACAAACAGAAAGTAAATCAGTGACTGCCTAGGGGTAGAAGACGGGAGTGGGGGTGGGAATGACTGCTAAATGGTATGGGGTTTCTTTTGAGATTGACAAAGTTCTAAAATTGATTGTAGTGATGGTTACATCTCTCTGTGATATACTAAAAACCACTGAATTGTACACTTTAAATGAGTAAATTATATGGTATGTAAACTATATCTCAAACTACTATAAAAAGAAGAAGAAACAGCTGTTCAACATCCTAAAAACTTCCATAAACT